TAATAAACTAATAATTTTTTTTATTGGGCCTAACCAATGGCTATGTCTTAAAGCTCAGTGAGTGATCTTGCAAAACTAATTGTACAGTAGCCACCTTCCATGCAATCTGGTTTTTTTTTTTTCGTTTATATTATACTGTATTTTTTTATTACTGCATTCTATTGAAAGTTAAGTATTTGAACTTGCACTTTTGATACATATTTTGATTCAAAAACAAGGTCAGCAGGTATAATCAATCGACCTGCCATTGAATGAACGAAAATTGTAGGAGGTGATAGAAATCCTATTGTCTATTAAAGTGTTCTGTTCATTTGCTTGTATTTACATATAAAAATTGTAACCATTTTTACATGACTAATATCATAATAGCAAGAACTAAACAATTTTTTATTTACATTGTGTAGTGGTGGGAAGACATATAAGTTGTTGTAAATTTTTATACCTTGTTTTTCGAACCCACTACCGACCCATGCTGGTGATTTTATTTAAAGAAATATTTCTCAACCTATTTTTTATTCACCTGCTGCTGCAAAAATAAGAATTTTTTTTACATTTTTTATTATTTTGCTTTTATAGTGTATTATTATATTATGCTTAATGTTGCCCTAAAGTCAGGCTCCGGAGGAAAAAAAATGTTTGATATGTTGTAGAACTGATTTTTCTAAGACAGAAAAAAGTTGTTTGACGAAAAACTGGGGAACGGTGAATGAGATACAGATTTTTTAATATTTAAAAACTGGGGGAAAAAGGGGCGTCAAACAACTTTTTTCTGTCTTAGAAAAATCAGTTCTACAACATATCAACAATTTTTTTTCCACCGGAGCCTGACTTTGAAATTTTCCAATAAGAATATTTATTTCTTCTGTATGACTACTGTCTGTATAAAACATTTATAAATCAACTGGTCATATTTGCAACAATTCTTTACAAACATGAGATAGGGTCTCGAGTGTAGGTCTAATGGTACCTGTTACTTTGTCTACACTCGCACACTTGAATTTTTAAATTTGTCAATGAAAATTTTGGGGAAAAAAAATCTAATTTTGATAAAATTAGAAATCTAAATTTAATTCTTATTTATTGTATATGACGACCTTTAAAAAATATAGTTTGCTAAATGTGGCAAAGACAAGCCAAGCTTGTCACAAATCCTGTTTCAGAGATAGTAGCCACAACATGCTGGAATGTCAACATTTTTGAAATCTATTTTATTGCACTAAACTAAACTTTACATATCTATACATCATGCTATGCTGTCATTTTTCCCATTTTCAATGTTAAAACTACAATTTTTAACCATATGGTGATGGTTTCTGCCTCAGAAATGCTCAAAATCATAAACTTTGAATGCTTATTTCTCAAATATTGTTCCTTAAACAGCTGTATGTTTGACTCCTGTAACTTCATAACGAAACATCGGATTTAAATGATTCTTCTACCATTTTATAGCTCTCATTTTACTTCTTAACCCTGTATTAATAACTAAAAATCAATTTTTGCGACGAGTGACTGGTTTGGCTTGTCTCTGCCACATTTATTGTCTATGACCTTTCGAAAATATAGTTAGCCATATGTAAGGTATAAATGAAACTCTTGCTAAAGTAATGTGTAAATTATGTTTGATGATTGCTTCTTCTGGCATCAGCATTCGCTGAATAAAAACTCACTACACGCATTAATAGATGCTGCTAGTAGTAAAGTGGCTTTGCTTTTAAAAGGATGGCCTAATGTATGCAGTGGTTCAGGTATGAACATAAATCTGTTAATTATCCACCAGCTTATCAACTCAAAGGCTGATATCAACGCTGTTAATGAGCATGGGAATACGCCGCTCCATTACGCTTGTTTCTGGAACTATCAAATGGTGGCTCAGGTAAGAAAAATCAAATATAGGTGTCGGTACAAGATGGCTATAAATAATAATAATTACAATAGAACCTTTCCTTCGGGACACCCCTATTAAATGAACACCCCTATTACGGGGACACTCTTTCGGCCACTAAACAACTAAAAGTATATTGTTTAACACTACGACCAACCCCTATTAAGGGGACGCTTTTTTTGGTCCGAAGGGATCCTCTTAATAAGGGGTTCTACTGTATTTTAAATAATAGCACAACAGTTCTACCTTCAGTATTGCCAAAGCCACTGAGGCTTTAAGGCCCCAAGGTATATTTTGTATATTATGGTAGTATACAGCTACCAGTTTGCAAATAAAACTGTACATTGCACTCAGGCAATCTCTTTAGTAAATACTTTGGGTGATCTTTTGGTGTGTTGTAGGGCCTTAATGATTATGTCAGAGGGTGGTGGGGGGGGGGAGTGCATTAGCTGGCAAAAGAAGCTGATATGAGGTGATGTTTAACTGTTGCCACTGTTGACACCATGATAGCTACTAAAAAATTAGATGATTATCATTTCAGTATCCTATACTCTTCTTTTCCCAAAGGAATTAGTAAGTCATGGAGCACGAGTTACATTATGTAATAAGCTTGGACAGACTCCATTATCAAAGGCAAAGCCATCATTAGCGGAACAGCTTCGAGGTAATATCATATTCATTCCATCGTTTATTGTCAATTGATCGTAAACGAATTTATGTTTAAAAACAGGAATTATTATCTACCATGCAAAATGACACATTTTGTGTTCTATTTCATGACTATAGTATTAACTTCATTATATGTAATGCATTTTCTGCACTGATCTCTGCTATATATATCTGGATTGCTCAATGTCTAGTTTTAGTGAGGCCACCGATGCCATGTTGGAGGGCCTACAGTAAGTGACATATCAGTTTAGTCAAGTTTCTTTTGGCATTTACAGTATTGTTAAAATAATGATTCTTGCAATACTTTTTAATTTTAAATTTAATGTAACGATTATTTTTCAAATCAACTAATCACTTGACGTGACTGTTCATGCAGTTGAAAAAAGCACAAGCAAATTTATTTTCACTGTTAGTGGTCGATGTCACTATAAAAAATGCGACTTCGCTCGCACTTTTGTAAACTGCACATGACAGTCGTGTCGAGTGGTTAGACGATTTGAACAAAATTCTAATGTTTCTTATGTTTAAATTTATTGTTGAAAATATTGCAGGAATGGTTATTTTTAACAAAACAAATGCAAAAGCAAACTTGTCTAAACTGGTTATACGTCACTTAGGCCCTCCAACTCCAACAGTAGGCGCCTCACTATTGTTTCTGTACAAGGATTGGCTGATGAGCAATCCAGCTATTATAGTAGAAATCAGTGATTTTTGTTGTTATACTAATATTCAATAGCAGGGAAATTTCCACTAACAGAATAACAATACAGGTCTTCCTCTAATTAAAAACCCTTCCAATTATAAACCACCTCCAATTAAATTAAGTAAAGATCACTTTCCTCTGGTCCCAAATTAACAAATGTTGTTTATCTTTATTATTCCAATTAGAGACCAAAGTTGCTAAAGAGTATTAATACTCCTGTACAAAAAAATGTACAAAAAAGGTCTTTAATCGGAAGCAGAAGGCGAGACTTTGTTTATACCTTGCTGACTGCAAATATTAATGATTTCGAATAAAAATTAAATTTTAGTTTTGGCCAAGGAGCGCACCCGCCAACACGAAAAAGTGGAAATTTCAGAAAAAGAAAAAGTTTTTCTTTATTTTTATTACGTCCTCTGCTGCCTTAAAATCTCCAAAGATGAGATATGTATATTTCTTCCTAATATAAATTTGAACCATTTAACCATCCTATTTTACGTTCACAAATAAAATTGTATTTTTATTTTTCCTCCATCTGGACGATTTCGGCAAAACTATTTGCTAAATAAGAAAACAGAATTTTATTTTTATTTTTATTCCACCCCTCTCTGATATCTTTAAAAAAATACGATGAACAACAAGGAATAAAAAAGTCTCGCCTAATGTGTTTTTTAATTCATTTTTGCCAACTGAAGACGCTTTTCTTTAGTATTTAAAAGAGATAATAATTCATATTGGTAATATCATTTCTTTTTTATCTCTTGTTTCTTTGTTAGATCGAGCTAAGGCTCTAGGCCAGGACCTTACAGTCATCCCATACAAAACATCAAATTGGGGCGGAACAAAAACGAGAAGTAGTAAGCAAAATTTAACCGTCATTTCTATCAGCAAATGCATGTAAAATCTTTTGATATAAAACATGGTAACATTATGCAATTAAAAACATATGTTATATTAACCAGGGGATGCCACCCTATCAAGGTTTGCTGGTGTTGAATTGAAGTCTATCAAGATGCAAGGACAATTAAATGACAGTCCAACAGGAACAGTAAGTTAAAAAAAAATATTCTAGTGAAAATAACTACACAAATCTAATCTTTTTTTTTAATTAATTTTACCCCCCTTTTTTTAAACATGTACCTGTAGTTGTCTTTTAAACATATGTAAAAAGAATATTTGTAAACTTGTGTAACATAAATTTAGTTTACTTTATTTATATTTTAGTTCAATGAAAAATATCAAACACTTCTATGCCTTTGACTTACCTAAACCATGTGTGGATAAATATTAAAGTATATAAGATATATATGAACTTTCATAATTTTTCAGATGTACAAAGCACTCTGGCAGGGAACGGCGGTTATGGCCAAGGTACTTAAAGTCCGCAACTGCACATCACGTATTACTCGTGACTTTGCTCAAGAATTCCCACGCCTTAGGATCTTTTCACATCCGAACATCCACCCTGTACTTGCATGCGTTAACAACAGTTCTCCGTTCAAGATGGTAACACTCAGCGAAGCACTCCCTCATGGATCATTGTACCGTGTACTTCATGAAGGGTCCGGTTAGTGTTGCTACTTACTTTATGTGTTTGTCAAAATTTTATTTACATACTCTTGAATCCTAATTGATTTTTCATTGGTTGTTCAGTTATAAAAATACATTCTTGAACTTTTCACATTTTTCAATTTACTGTATACAAGATTTACAACAATGTTATATGCATCGGTTATTCATATCATTATTCAAGATGACCTTTTTACCAAGTTTAATATGATGGAAAGGTCAAATGTTATGATTTACTGAATTCTGAAATGACCCGAAATATGAACTAAGTTTTATCAATTGTTTGCAGGCATGGATTTCGACCATACACAGGCAGTGAGCTTTGCGCTGGACATAGGCCGAGGGATGTCGTTCCTGCACTCGATGGATCCTCTCATACCTAGATTCTACCTCAACAGTAAAAACATAATGGTAAGGATATTACTGCTCTCGGTAGAGTTCGTACGGTCCTTAGAAAGTACTTGAAAGTCTTTGAATTTGAGAAACGTGTTTAAGGACCCTACAAAGTTCTCGAAAATTGATGTTCGTACTTGAAAAGTCCTTGAAAACAGATTTTCCAATTTTACATTTTTATAATTTTTTTTTATTAAATAACAATGTAAAAAAATTGTTTTTTTTTTTTTTGTTTTTTTTTTTGTTTTTTTTCTTTTCTTTATATTACATGTATTTTCGGTCTGATATATTTTTCTAAACAAAACAAATTCTTCGTCTTCATGATGCCACTTGCTGGTCGATTTTTGTAAACAACAGTCCGCGCCTCCCCCTAAACTCAGCTCGCTAATTGGTTAGTTTTTTTTTTTGTGGGTCGTGTGCAAACATGTGCTCGGTTTTGATGACGTCAGATCGCCTAAAGTTTGCATAGTGCAACAGGGACCAGCTCAGTGTAAAAAACCGCCAGGATTTAAATAAAAAAGTAAAAAAATAAAATAAAAATGATATTAAAATAATAAATGATAATTTGTCAATAAAAAAGTACTATTATAAACATTTATATAATATTAGGAATAGTAATGTTAAGATTACTAAAAAATACAAATAGCAAGGCTAATACCATATAATACTGGGGCTAATTGTGCCACTGTAAAAAATGTTGAATAAAACTATATTATTATATTATACTATTATATATTTATAATATATACATATAGTACAGCATATTTTTTTAAATAATACTAATAAATGATGATAAATATAGTGATAATATTACAAAGTAGGCTTGTATGTTTAGCACACTTGCCAATGTGATTAATGTTAAGTACTTGATTGATTGTTAATTATTTTGGATCAATTTCATTTTATTGCAGATTGACGAGGAATACACTGCCAAGTTAAACATGGCCGACACCAGATTTTCCTTTCAGAATAAAGCCAAGTTATTTAATCCTGCATGGATGGCCCCAGAAGGTAGGTTCATCATCCAAACACTGCTTATCTGTTAGTCGACTCTGAGTTGATAAATATTATTGGAGCATACTATTATATTTTTGGGGGGTTTTCAAACATTTTTCATTGTAATGTGAAGTGCATACAGGCAATATGTGCTAAAGTATTAATTTATTATTTTAAAGTTTACTGTAGCTTATATGTGCTAAAGTATTAATTTATTATTTCATATTTTTAGCACTGCAAAAAAAACCAGAAGAAGCAAACGTGAAGGCGTCTGATATGTGGAGCTACGCCGTTCTCCTATGGGAATTATCTACAAGGGAGGTTCCATTTGCCGGCCAGTCACCAATGGAGATTGGAATGAAAGTATGTTCCCAATATATTTATAGATTTATTTACAGTACAATCATTATTTTAAGTGAAAATTAAATTTCTTTGAAAGTCTAGATTTATTTCATCATTTAGTACCTTGTCTTTAAATAATAAATTTTTTCATAGTTTTATATTGAGAAATCGTATGTTTGTGTATTGGTTGCCTCTTTGCAATTCTCTTTTGCTTAATCTTCCTGCTTCTTCTATCAAACACCTTCAAGTGATTCAAAATCTTGCGGCCCATCTCTTTAACTCCCAAAATATTCCCATATTACCCCAGTATTTTAAATCTTCACTGACTATCATCAAACGCATTATCTTTATTTTAAAATACTTATTACGACCGTTTAAATACTTGTTCTGAGTGTACCTCCATACCTTACTAGTCATCTTGATTGCTACTTGCCCATTTTTTGCCTTCGATCTTCACAAAATCTTCTCACTGTTCAGAATTTCACACAACAAAATATGGCCACAGAATATGTACATCTGCTGCCTCGTATCTTCTGGAATGAACTACCTTCTTGCATTTGGTCAGGTACCTCAGTTATTACATTTAAATTTGAACTTTAAAAGGTTGCCTTCTTAACATACACTGCGCCTTCGATCATTATTCATTATTCGCGTTACAAGTTTATTATTATTATTATTATTTATTATTTTTATTATTGTTATTATCATTTTATTATTATTTAATATTTATTTAATTTTTATTATTACCGGTATTATTAAAATTATTATTACTATTTATTATTATTATTATTAAGAAATCATTGCCTCATCTGCCTAAATGTATAGAATGAAATAAACAAACATATTGTGTTCATCTTACAGATTGTGTGTGAAGGACTTAGGATAACGCCACCAACGGGTGCATCAGCGCATATGAGCAAGCTCATTAAGATATGCATGAACGAAGACTCTAGTAAACGGCCAAGATTCGACATGATCCTACCAATTCTCGAGAAAATGAGAACCGCATAGGATTGGTAAATGATGTCAAATAATATAATATAATATATATATTGATATTATTATAATGTATTATTACTAGCAGGTGTGCCTGCTTGTGTTATGTAGTCTCTTTCATGTACCTGTATCTGGATAAACTGACTTTGCCATTCTTTTCTTGAACTAGAATATCCCTTTAAAAATAATGGAATCATCCATCTTTGACATCACATGTTCATACAGTACTAACAAACACACGTACGACCTCATTTCTTGAATGATGTTGTAGTGTTACACAAATTATTGTAATAGTTTCTAAGAGTATTCACAAACAACATTTGGTAGAAGACAAGACAAGAAACACTTTACATTTCTTTAGTTACTGCTTCCAGAGAATGAGGAGGAGCGTGTGGTGGTTAAATGTTATACCATAGGATAGAAGGTTCTATTATTTTTTTTAGGGGTGGTTGTCAAAGGAATAATTGTAATAATCAGTTTATCTCATAGACTGCCAAAATCATTATCAGTTTGTGTATACATGTGTTTTATGTCCACATGCATTTGTATATTTGTCCACAAAAGTAATCTACACACATGGATGTTTTTGGATATGTAACACGTACATTAACACATGTTTTGTGGGTATGTACACATGGGTTGATTACCTCCTTTTTGTGTATATTTCTACAAATTTGGATCAAATTTGAAACATATGATTCCTATGTATATTAACACACTTGTCTAGTAATACATGTTTATGTATATTTTCAAATTCGATACTGTATGTGTATATTTAATGTGTTTTAAGCACATCTGTTATGTATATACACATTTCTCTTGCACATACTTACACACGTCATCTCTGCATGTTTGCAATTTTTTCATAGTTAATACCAAGAATGCTAAATCCTGTATGACACTGGTATTGCTTTGAGTTCTGTACCTAAATTTTAAGACAGTTTTATTCTGATACTAACTGTAAATTTGGGAGAAAAACAAAAATGGATATTTTAGTAATCCCACCTCCATACATGTTTTTAAGATATGTATAGTGTAATTTAGAGGTATGCGTTGCAAGGTAGGACCACATTGTTGTGTGGGATATAGCATTCCATGTATTTAAAATGGGATAAAAATTACAGTATTGACTTTGAAATCTTGTGTTGATTTAATTAGTAATTTATCAATTAATGTGATATAAATAAAATCATTCTGCATGAGTAAGATTCATTTATATTTAAATATAGTAATTCTTACAATTAATGTTAGCCTAGATTTTCTGATTTAGAAAAAAATTTCTTATGAGTTGTGGTGTAGGTCAGGAAACCTTCACTAGAATAGTATTAATTGTTTGAGAATTGCCGCAAGTCCAATACAAAACTTGTTTTGATCTTTTCTCCATAATTCTCCGCCAAAACGAAGTGCGTCTTCAATCAAAGCATATTTGAAATGTTTACGATTATTCTAATTTATCTTTAAAACCAAATTCTCTTGATTTGTGAAATTGTGTATAAAACATTAACAGGAAGTAGAAATTAAGAGCGCAAACTTGTTGGTATTCACATTATCCTCAAATCGCTGAACCTTGTCTTCCTAATCTATATTTGATGGCTGAACATTTTTACATATATGAAAATTTATATATATATTTCTAATATGATCTTTGACTTTTTAGATGTATATTGAAAATTGAGATACTGGGTTTCAATTGCATAGAAAAAAAAAATATATATCGATGTATGCGAATATTAAATGTTTTATCGTGCTATGTTCTCAGCGGCCAACGAATCTGTTTGTGCTCTCTGAGAGCACTGTACTAATTTGTTAGTAACAGTCTGAGTGATTTTTCAATGAAAACTATCCGTCATGCGTGCCCTGTCTCTGTGCAGCCTCATGAAATCTTGCCAGTGGACGAAGTGTTCGGCAAATTTTAAAAGTCTTGGGTAGTATCTCATCCCCATAGTGGCCAACTTTCGACTGTACAGGTATTTCAGGGGCGGATCCAGTAGGGGGCATGTTCCCCCTCCCCTTTTTGCCACCAAATTTTTAAAATTTTAAAGCATATCAATGTTATTTTCTACCAATTTTAAAACTATTGTCAACACTACAATAGGGCGTCCGGGGGCATGCCTCTGCGAAATTTTCGTTTTCTAGATGCCCAAAAATAAAAATAACCTCGGAGGGGTTTTGGGCGATCAATTTTTTCTTTTTTTTTCGGTTTTTCCCCCTTTCGGACGCCCCCCCCCCCAACCTTATATCCACCCCTGCTGTTCTATATGACTGTCTTGCAATATTGCAAATTATGCATTACTGTACCTTGAGAAAATTGTCCTAGTAGAAAATAATTCAAGCAGCGTACCACAGTTACTAATGGTACTTTGGAACAAATGGTACTTTAGTATCAAAGTCTGATTGGAAGAAAGTGTTCTTTTTTTCAAAATGGTGTAGAGTAAGCAATTTATAAGTAGGTACAGTATAAGAAAAAACATAGAAAATACCATTTAAATGTATTATTGCATTGATAAAAAGCATTATCAATTTGATGTAGTTTTTGTGGGGATTGTTATTTTTCTTTAAGAATTGTAAAAGCAGCATCTGAGTAGTTATTAGCTGCAAATGCAGTAGAATCTGATTTGCATTTTTGAGTACCGTATAATATATTCGCGTATAAGACAACCTCCGAATTTTGCTGCTTTTATGTATTGGTACTGCATTTAGCTGGCTAAAAACTGAGCCAAATGCAACACTAATCTTATAAATAATACAGTTTTATGAGATTTAAAATCTTATTTCTCCGTATTTAAAAAAGCTTTATTGCAGTAGTAAATTTGCATGATACAGACGATCCGCACATAGGACGAACATTATTTTAAAAATCTAAAATTTGTATGTCGCGCCTATAAAGCCGGATACTCACTACGTCGTACGACACTCACACGACGAATCTGCATTTGCTTCCGTCGAGCGATAAACGACGCAGCATCGGCAGTGCTGATTGTCAGTGGCAATCTGAACGGATCCCCATTAAAAAGACGATCTGTTGGGTTTGCGTCTTCGTGTACGTTCTTCGTTGCGTTGGCGTCACGTCGCCGTCGCACAGTGAGTAATCGGCTTAAGACGACCCCCGTTTTTCGATCGTAATTTCATAATTTAAGCTTTGTCTTATACGTTACTCAAGTATACGGTATGCTCTCCACTTGTGCAGATATAACTCTGTGCTATGGCGGTGAAATTCCTGTGTAAATTGGAATGTGTTAAGGTTCACTTCATTTCATTTGACAGGCACATTTCAAGTGTTGACAGACGACCACCCTGTCCGATAAGAGTAATTTTGACCTAGTTCTGCATTATACTGATGCCCTTATTAGCTTATTTTTAATAATTGTAAATATAAATTAATGTGTTTGTATAGCAAGTTTAATAACTGTAAAAATTATGTTAGAGTAATTAATCAATTAGGGAAGCAATTTTGAAGCATAAAATATTATTGATTTCCATAAACCCCCCTCGCACTACTGTTAGGGAAGCAGAGGCTGAGGGGACATTTTCAGCAATAAGGTCGATCCACATGTGGTTGACATTAGTTGTGTACATTTTATCTAAGTAGTACATGTACTCCTGTCTCTTATACACATCTAGATGTGTATAAGAGACAGACTTTCGACTGTACAGGTATTTCAGGGGCGGATCCAGTAGACGACATGCATTATAGGTGCGTAATAGTGTTTTCCACTGAAATACTATACGTAATGAAGAAAATAGGTAGGATATGGGGTATTTGTGCATGCACTTAGCTCGAAAATAATTTATATTTATATTAACTGGTGCTAACCGCATGTTATACAAACATTAGGTGATGAATTGAATTAAAAGTACAATTGGCAGAAATATGGTGTCTTATTTTATTTTTGTTGCAAAAATTAAAAAGTTGGGAAATAGTTTCGTAAATTTAGAGGTGAATACTGTAAATTGGAAGCGACTCTCTAAATGTATTAAATCGGTTTTGTCGTATTTCCGTTAATAATAATAAAAATTCTTTATTGGTCCTTATTCAATTGGAAATCGGAAATTTGGGCTGGGCACCTGTGGACCAGCGACAGTCGCAGTGCAGCCCCACCCGACTTAACTACAACATAACAGACACATTCAGATACAAACGCCGTCCTTAAAATTGTGAGAGTTATTCGGCCCACTGCTCAGCTTTTAGTTTTATTTTGAAATTTGTATTGTGGTGTTTTGTGATTTTCTTGAATGATAGATCCTGGAGATGTTTTTTAGTGGTATAGTACGTTGTTACCATGTTGGTTGGCTACTAAGGTCTGATGCCGCTTTGCTCTAGGCCTCAATGACGGCGCCAGGAATTCCCCGACACCGGTGTCACATAATCCCCAAGTGAATTTAACCTCTCTCTACGTAACGTTCCTAGTAAATTCGTTGCTGTCTTGGCCGTATAGGTATATGTATATATGTGTATATATATATATATATATATATATATATATATACATATCTATATACATACATATATATACACATATCTATATACATACATATATATATATTTATATTTATATATACAAAAAAATATATTTATATATACAGTATATATATTTATATATATTTACATACATTATATATAAATCATGAAAGAAAGTAAATACAGTGTTCGAATAAAGGACATGAGGGTACATTGTGTAGCATAGTTATCAACGAATGTTGTCCTATAAATAAATAAATAAATGCATTGTGTAATAAAAAGCTTCTAACGAGACTCGAACCTGTGACCTCTACAGGTAATGCTATATGGTGTACCATCATGTCTTTCATTCCAACACGAAGGCTTATTTACCTTTCTTGATATATATGACGATATTTGGCTGGCCTAGCGGTGCCTACCGTCTACCGGGACTGGGGATCAGTTTCCCTATTCCAAACGTGGTCTTGATTGGAGGGGCCTGTGCTCGCTTTTTCCTGGTTAGCTCATTGGCTGTATATTTTTACTTTTTTTCTCTCTTAATTGTGAATTTTCCTGTCCTATGTGTGTAATGTAAATTGTATAGTACCAGTATGTAAAAGACAAGCCAATGTAGCTTCTATACATGCTGCCATTGTACAAATGTTTTTTGTGTGAAATACTTGAATAAGTTGTTTAGAGTATTGTTTGAAGGTTTGCAATGCGAAGTAATAACATAACGGTATATGTTTAAGCTTGCCGCTTGCACGTAGGTAGTTCTGAAAAGAACTGTTGTAGTGGAGAATAATATCTGCATCAATTCCAACAATCATGTGTTTGCGTAGAGATGCTGGCTGCCAGCTGATTGGATTTATTTTAGTAGAGCGGCTAAGGTTGAATTTCAGGTAGAATCGTGCACTTCTGGAAGAAAGCATGAAACTTCCACACAGTGTTACTATGACACTTAAAGATTATTTTAAAAAAATAGAACCCAAAAAAATAACGAATTAACGCCTCCTAATGGCCACCATCTTGAAATCCAATATGGCCGCCAAAATGTTTGATTTTATCCAATATATTCATATCTACAGCACATGTCATTGCCAAATGGTCATTACCCATGTTCAATATCAGAAAGTGTCATGCAATCATCAGAAATTATGTCAGATGGTGCCGCCATATTGGATTTCAAGATGGCCGCCAAATTAATGATATTTTTGTAAATATTTTTATCTACATACCTAGCACTGTCAATCAAAGACCGTTGCCCATGTTTTCGATATCAGGGACTACTATGCAGCTATCAGAAATTATGTCAGAAGACCACCATATTAAATTTAAAAATAGCCGCCATCTTGAAATTTAATATGGCTGCCAAAATATTTAATTTTAGCCTATGTATTCATATTTACAGCACATATCACTCCAACTGAAGATCATTACCCATGTTTTCAATATCAGGGAGTGTCATACAATCATCAGCAATTATGTCAGATGGCGCCGCCATATTGGATTTCAAGATGGCCGCCAAATTATTGCTATTTTTGTCAATATGTTATCTACATCACCTAGCACTGTCGATCAAAGACCGATACCCATGTTTTCGATATCAAAGTCTATCATGCAGCCATCTGAAATTATGTCAGAATGCCATCATTGAATTTCAAGATTGCTGCCATACTTGATTTCAAGATGGCCGCCAAAATTATTGATAATGTTGTAAATATCGTCATATCTACAACACCTAGAAAAGTTCAAAGATCTCTACTCGTGTTTTCGATATCCGGGAGTATCATGCAGATATCAGAAACTATGTCAGAAGGCCGCCATATTGAATTTCAAGATGGCTGCTATATTGGATATCAAGATGACGGCCAAAATTTTTTTTCCATATTTACATTTATGTAAAGTACAAGCACTGTGAAAAGTGATTTCTTGCTGTCGAGGTGAGTGCCATACATATTTACCACAAGGGGCCCCTGGTATATCGCAGATACAACCCAACCAGGACACTTCTTCAAACAAATGATATACTGTTGCCAGAGAATACTCTAGAAGTCATATCTGTATTATAATGAAGTAACATATAGAATCAATGTTGCTGCGTAGCATTGTGGTGTAACTAATCAAATAATGACAGAAACAGTGCTAAATGAACAATGATGTAAAGATCATATCAGCCATAACCTATTAAAGAAAAAGTTCTATATTAACTGTATGAAAAAGACAAAAGTGCCCCCAGTAAAGAATTAAACCATGCATCAGTTGTTCGAAAATGTGTCCTCGTTGGATTTATCAGGAAACGAATATTTTGTACAGTATATTTTCTCCTATTCACCGTTGATATATTTGTTAATAATTATGAATAGGCAGTATTATGTGCCTAAAGGCACGGTATCTTATTGTCTCATTGTTACAAATATTGCTTTATATGTGCAGGGAGAAGCTCTATTGATCAAGAGCTTCATACTTGATGACAAGTTCAAATTTACACTAGATGATATTAATGTGATACTGGGTTTTTCCAAAATGATATCGTTTTGGAAAAACCGAGTTCGTCCGAAAGGCACGTAGGCCTATGTTGTGATGTTACCCAATCAGGACTTCCCTACACAGACATATAAGAACTATTGAAGATAATAATTATTTTATTAGTTTGGTTTGTGTCGACCCAAGACTACATATAATTATTTTGTTGTCGTGAAGACTAACAAGTCCGAATAGCAACGGAATCCAATCGAATTAGTAGGCTTACAGTAATCTAGTTAACATCAAGTATCTTTTTTGCTCATAGCTTCCAGGACAAAGATTTCAAAGGTATGTATTGATTGACTGTAATACCTCTAACGTTTCATCAAATAATTGGTACATTCAGCAAACTGATTTTTTTTTTATTGCTTCCTAAATTAATGGAAGTACCTTTCATTAAACGCAGATTTTTGTCCTAAAATTTTACCAAAATTTTGTTTGTAACTTTTGTGCCCATGTGGATATTTCTGTTTTTTTTTTTTGTTCTCTTTTTTTTTTTTTTTTTTTTTTTTTTTTTTTTGACGTGTAAACATGTCAAATTCATTTATTTATCTATTGCGGTTTTGTGGAATCTTATTAAAAATTATTTTGTTATGTTACTGGTATCAATTATTTCTAGCTGGATCATTGCCTCTCCACAACACATTTAGGTAAAATTAAAAAATAATATTGTGTTGGCCACGCCCGACCGACCCAAAATATTCGAAATTGAGGGTTGGCATTTTATTTATTTATATATTTTGAATTACAACGAAAAAAAAATTCTTAATGAGCCAAAAAGGAAAGAATGGGCCTATCTTGCGACGGTAGGCAATTCGACAGGTTATGCGATCGTGTTGCTCTTCAATAGATTTAATTATTGTCTCTGTTGTATTTTTGTATATTTTCTACTTTTTAGGCATAAACGCAAAAGAACTTTTTCTACCCACCTACCCATTTTTTTTTTTTTTTTTGGATTTTCCCAAAACGTGGCCAATACAAGATTTGTTTTCTTCTGTACGTTGCAGTTTAGAGTGCCTGGTACGTTGGATAAGATATAAAATACTGTAAGCATAGTGCACCCTTTTCCACGAAGACCCAGAGGGGAAATGATAAAATATAATGATCACGTACGTACGTATTACTATTAGGTACGTACGTAATAGTAATACGTACGTGCTTGACTATCACGCACGTATTACCGTACTAATTTGTACATCGTATTACTACGCGTACGTATATTTTCACGTACGTATGTATTATCACGTACGTACGTATTACAAATACGTGCGTACGTATTACTATTATGTACGTACTTGATCACGTACGTACGTGATAATAATACGTACGTATATGATAGGCCTACTTTTTTTTATCATGTCCCTTCTGGGTCTTTGTACTTTTCTTAGCGGCCCAGTTGTTTATTACAGAAACACAAAATAATGGCGAATCATGGATACTCATTTGAGGGACAAGTTGGCAAGTACTTACGAGATAAATACGGAAGTTCACGAGTCCAGTCACAAGTACCAATGAATGGAAGAATTGCTGACTTTGTTGTGAATGGTAACCAAGTATGGGAAGCGAAGTCTGCGCCGAAGATCGATAAAGACGATCATGTCCTTAAAGCGGCAACCACTGCTAGAGGATACGGAAAAGCTTTCCTTGCCATTGGACGAGATGCAAGTGTTTCCTCCACCGTCCAGCGGCATGCAAACGATAATGGTGTGCAGATAGTCAGAATGCAGTTTAATTAATAAACATAATCGATGAGTTAACCATTATTTATATTTCTGAAAATTGAAGACATATAGAGTGATATTAGAGTAGACCTTGTCATTGCCATTCAGTTTAGTACTTGAGATGAATTATAAAATTAAGCTATACGTACTTTTTAATCCGTAAAATGCATTACCATTCCTAATATCAGATAAATTTTAAAATGCAATTTGTAAATTTCATATAGTGTCAAGTAGTAGGCCTATGCGCTAAATAATCGTATGCTTATTATTATAATAAGCGTTCTAGGGCGGATGTAGCGGGTGGGGATGCAGACGGTGCGACCACACCAACCTAAATTGTGTTAAGACAAAATAATTGTTGTATTGTATTTTTACTATATTATTTTTATCATTAAAGATATAATGCCGGTTAGATTTTTAAACTATGAGAGTGTAATTTCCGGGCATCTTGAGGTCCATATTCTCAAAATTGTCTCAACCAGGGTGGGGCTGAGGTGGTGTGGATTCTCACGCACCCCCCCTACCGCCAAATCCTGCATTCGCCCCAAACATTCTTATATTATGATAACAATAAGAGAATTTGAATTACCTCACTATGCATTGTGATTTTGAAGGGCATACAAATGTAGCAGAAAAAACAGAATGAAGCTTATAATAGGAATTTTGTTATCAGACCTTATGTATTAGTAAATAGATATTATTAAATGTGTGTTAGCTGTTCTTATTAAAGTAAACACAGCGATTTCTTTACAGATGTATTTCACTTGAAAATAACAAAAAATCATAAAAATAATAATACTCTAACGGTGTGAAGATAATCAGATTATGAATTATTTCTAAAAATTTAAGACGTAGAATTGAAGACATTTAGTGTAGGCCTTTATATCAGTTTTAATACCTTTTTACTCAGAGAGAACTCGGGTTGCTTACCATTATCAATATCCTTACGTTTAATATCATTATTTTAAATTTTATCATCATCATCATCATCATCATCATCATCATCATCGTCATCAATATCATCATAACCACCGCCATTATTATTATTATTATTATTATTATTATTATTATTATTACTATTATTATTATTAATATTATTATTATTATTATTATTATTATTGTTATTATTGTTATTATTATTATTATTATTATTATTATTATTATTATTATTATTATTATTATCATCATCATCACCCTCATCATACTCATCGTCATATAGGAATGGCGCATTAGAAAAATAATAAAGAATTGTTTATTTTATACCATTATACCATTTATGTTTATCATATAGGCCTAGTTCTATGTCTTACTGTACCACTCTCTCTGATTGGCTAGTTCATTATTATCAACTAAGCCCTTAAGGTATTGTTTTAGCTTTCCTATCCACGCTACTCTCTTTTGTTTTATTACGATCCTACGTTTCTTATGTAATGGTAATGGTAATGGTGGGATATTTGTAATGCGCCTTCCACAATAAAATCGTCTGATCATAATCAAAATCATATTACGTCAGCATTATATTTTTTTATATTGTATATATATATATTTTATATCTGAACGTATACCTGATGAATACCATAATTACAGTACAAAATATTTCAAAAAAAAAATACGTACACAACAACCCCTACAACAACCATATTTCTTTTAATATCACTGTACACGACATCACACCTTTCCTAACTGTTAAGTGAACATAAAAAAAGGTCTTTCTTGATGCATACAACTACTATAACTTTAAACGTTATTTTTTTTCTTTTTAATGCTCAATACATGTAACAACACTCCACACAACCTCCACCCACCGACAGCACTTGGCATTGCCAGCTATATTCTCAAGTGGGCTATTGCATCAGTGATGCTTTCGTTTTATAGTTTTCACTAGAACTTTATATAATTGTTAAATTAAATTTGCGATTGCCATTTCCGGCCACCCAAAGGTGTCATAATCATAGATTTTCTTATGATCCCGGTGGTGGATTCAAGGAGGGTCGAGCTGATTCGGATCCTCATAAAAGTAACAGTAATCAGTCGATTCTGAAAGTAAAACTTTAAAAGTGAAAATTTGGCCAATTTTCTGCAAAAAACGTAAAAGTTCTGCGTCCTGTGGCACCTACAGCTGCTTTTAAAAAAGTGATTTTTATTTATTATTCGAAGTCTCGCTCTTCATTTGGCTAGAGGTTTAGATAGAAACGCCCTCTACACATGTATTCATCCTTTGCATATTTTATAATATATTTTAATTTTTATATGAAATATAAAGTACTTTAAAATAATACTAAATTTTCTTTAAAATTACAAAAAAAAAATATTTTTAAAAATAAGGCAAAAAAAGCAATTTCGCTGTACAATAATACAATAAATAGGCATAATGTACCCTCGTTGATTGCTTCTGCAGGTAATAACACCAATACCATACGTACAATTGAACCAAATATATTCTAATCTCGGGCAAAATATAGTCACCTGACTCTCTCCCTGACGGGTTCCGGGGTCGACGAGGCTTCTTGTCGGTTACGCCGGTAACCCTCCGCTGAGTCTGGGCCCGGGCCTTGGCGAAGGCTCGAGCCTTGGCGAGGTTGAGTACTTAGCCTTGCGGCATCATATGATGATCGCTTGGCGGTGATACTTGACAGGACTAGGCGATTAACAGACTGCAGGGGAGATGCACAGGGAGTCTCATTCAACTGACAGGCACTCGGGATGGCTATGCTAGGTTCAGTGCATCATCGTGGCTTAGGGGTCACACTGCTTCCTCCCTCCGTTCAGTTGGCTGTGGGGCCGAGCAAGTAGTTCCATCGTGCATTTAAGTGACCAGCGTACGAGGAGCGAAAACTTGAATACTAAAGAACAGAACACATTTGCAAACATGTAGCCTGGGTTCCAGGCCCTAATTTTGGGTGATTCACTCTTTATTGCATTTAGTGCGCGCCATACCTAATTTAATTGGCGTCCCATACTCAATTTCTTTTTTTTTTATTATTCCGTCTCTAAATTAACTTTATCGTTGGTGGCGCTGTCCAGAATGAGAAAAATAATAAAAAATAAGAGTCTAGCAAACATGGTATTCCAGAACGTAAACATTCACTCTCTGGATGTTCGTGTTGAAGCTGGAACTAGCGATTAAAATGGCCTAATATTGTTCATAAGTCTATGCTTCAACTTAAATGTGATTTTCATGATTTGAAATACAAATACCTTACTCAGTTGTGTAGATATTTTTGAAAAATGTCCTGATGCAGATTTTTATATATAACCAGGGAGATGTAAAAAATAAACATCTCCCTGATATAACCATGTTTTTGATTTTGATAAATTAACATTTAATTATTTTTCTTTAAAAAAATAAATTTAACTTAAAGGATTTTAAAATATAAAAAAAATTAAGTTAACTTAAAACACAAACAACACGATAGGATATGATGTTTGCGAGAATAATTGGTATACTTGACTGTATTTTCTGAAGCGCCGTTCGTTTTGGGGTTGCTTGCTATCAGGAGTTGTTACAATCAGTGGCGTCACGCTGTTGGATGTGGGATGGGGAGGGGCAACGACATTGCAGTTTAAAAATATATATATTATAAACTATAATAATACTATAGTTTCATTCAATGGGGCCCCGACAGTTTTAAACAAATAAAGCTGGGTTCTGATGTTCGAGATCATGCTTCTGATTTTGTGATCAATCTGCTTTGCATTGTATATAGGCCCTACATTATTAAAACATGTTTAGTTCTCACTAAACTTGGCCTATTCTCTGTATTTATTTACACCTAGAGTACATAGGGCTACTGTAGGCCTATACCAGTCCGAAAGTCATTTTCCATTCTATGTTCTCTAACAACGTAGTTAGTTAATTTTTCAATCTCCAGCAAATTTTAAATAGCAATCCCAAATCCTCCTTTTTGGAATGCAAGGAAATAGATAGTGCTTTTCCTTTGTTGGCTCGATTGTAACTCCTGATTGTAGCAACCCGAAAACGAATGGCCCTTTAAAAATGCAGTACAGTAAACCAATTATTTTCTCAAACTTTATATCCTATTGCATTGTATGTGTTTTAAGTTAACTTTATTTTTTTTTTTAATTTTATTTATTTTTTTAAGCTTACAGGTTTGGAATATTTTTAAATCCTTAAGTTAATTTTATTTATGTTGTTTTTTATTTTATTTATTTTTTATTTTCAATCAAAAAACAAATGCGATCGTCAATACCGACCTTGGTACAATGTAAACTTGTAATCATATGACTACTTATACAGAATTTTACTATATTATAGGCACAGACTAGGACCAGGCCTCCTACTATAGTATGCTTGCTTGGCTGGTTTTGATTTACGTTTTGGAACAGAATTTGGAGAGGGCGTTTGATTAAGTCAGACCTACGTTTTGAATTTGAGTTAGGCTACATTAAAAAAAATAAAATAAAACTACATTTTAGAAAATTTGAACGACGTTTTGAAAAATTAGAACTTCATTTTGGGAAACTAGATCTACATTTTGAGAAAATTACGCTTACGTTTTGATAAATTAGACATTGAATTTTGCAATGACATTTTGATTTTAACATGGACTTTTGCTGCGTATGGCACCCCTTAGGGGCAGAGACATGTACAACACCATGGTTGAAAAAATGGCTCCTCTGCCAGGAAATAGCACATATACTTTACAAAAATGCATGTCTCACTTTAAAAGGGTGATGAATTTTGATTGCAAGTAATTAGGGCCGGCTTGACCATTAATACCGTTGTGTCACATAACAGCCTATAGGTCTATATTGATTCCACCGTTGTCGTTTTTTTAAGTCGATTCTTATCCTACAATCATCAACCTAATAATAATTATCGACATTATCATCACCGCTATCATCATCCATCGCCATCATCATAATTATCAACCGTCATCAACATCATCATAACCACCACCATCATATCAATATCATCATAAACATCATCATCATCATCATCATCATCATCATCATCATTATCATTATCATTATTATTTTGCCCAATACTTTCTACTAATGTTTTATTCCAGTAGAATTACATTTTAATTACAATGGAATTAAGGGCGTTTGAGTAGGCCTATATACAGTACGTATCCATTTTACACAAAAAAATAAATAAATGCCTACCTCGAATAAACACCTCCCTCGAATAAACTCTCCCTCAAAAACCATTCTCAACAATAAAAGATGTGTATAAGAGACAGCTTTTAACCTTGAATAATCGAAATTTGTTATAGCTCGACAAAATACTGATATGGATGTGTACTTCCATAATATCGATATCAAATAAAGCTACTACGGTAGTGACGGATCCAGAAATTTGAAATAGAGGGGATCCAGGGGGCACTTTCACATATGGGTTTATGATTATGTCACCTCCATGGTCCATGCTCTAGATGGCCGAAAAAGACTTAAATATGAATACAATTTTAATTTTTCCTTCCATTTTTGAATTAATTTTAAAATAATTTAGGCGGGTCTGGTTGCACACTTCCCCTTTTCAAATATACAGAGCAGTTGAGCATTTTATATAGGCTTATAATAATAATAATAATAATAATAATAATAATAATAATAATAATAATAATAATAATAATAATAATAATAATAATAATAGGCTTAATGATAGTAATAATATGCCTAATAATAATAGTAGGCCTATAGGTCTAATAATAATAATAATAATAATAATAATAATAATAATTATAATAATAAATAAGAATGATAATAATAATAATA